CTGACAATAAGGATACACGAACACCAACTAGCCACCAAGAGACACAACCAATTTTCACTGGTCTCAATACGCACAAAGAAGGACACAAATTTGACTGGGACAACACATTGATAATCGCACAAGCCAAACAGAGACATGCCAGGGAATTCCTGGAGGCATGGCATTCCGACTAGAACTCCATCAACAAACACACTGAACTGCACCCGATATGCAAATCACTGAAAAACAGAACCGGAAGTGATGCTAACCACCCTGCAAGCCGAGGTACATAAATAACATGTGGGGCAGAACACCAACGCTTCACCAGAGGCACACTGACGAAGTTACTTAGAAGGGTGACGAAACATCTACAATCAAACACACCGGCTCAGCAACATTGAACCCTTCTAATGACGGTTCTCCTCGCCACATGGTATGGGTAGCACCTCCCCCTTTGGTAAAGACAAATGCAAAGTATTCATTCACACTTCAGCCATGGCCACTGCCTCCACATGTAAATCCCCTTCTGGTCTCTAATCCATCCTGTTCCTTCTTTTACCACTCTTTTACTATTTATGTGCCCAGAAAACTTTGGGACAACCCTGTACATTGGCTGTCAGTCTTTTCTCATAATTTCTCTTTGCTTCTCTTATTTGCTTTTTCACCTCCTCTCTGAACCTTCTGTATTCGTCATCAGTGTACAAATAACTCCCTTGAGAGAGAGGGGCTGAGAGATAGCAGTCACGGTACATTTATCTCCCCAAGAGGGTGAGGTCAGAGATAGCAGTCAGTGAGGATATCTCCGTAAGATAGAACTTAGAAATAAAAGTCAGTGTAAAGCCATCTCTCTGGGAGAGGGGACGAAGATTCACCAATGTACAGATATATCTCCAAGAGAGGCGTCTCAGACTCCAGCCAGTGTACAGATATCTCCCTGAGAGAGACAATTCTGAGAGAGACCAGTCAGTGTAGTGATATCTGCCTGAGATAGAAGAATTAAGAGATACCAGACAGTGTACAGATCTCTCCAAGGGAAAGGAACGGAGTTACACTAGTGATTGAGTCTGTATACAAATATATGAAGACCAGTCAGTATGCAGTTATCTTTGCAGGAGATATTGAAAGTCACAGAGACTATGTGGGACTGAGCACCAGCAGTCATTATGAGATTTCACCTTGACAGGGATTGAGAGACACCAGGTATCACCTTGAGAGTGAGTGTGAGACAGCAGATATCACAGAGACCAAATGTCACTGAGAAACTGAAACTCACCAGAAGTCACCATGAGTCCAAGAGATGCCAGATATTACCAACAGAGACCAAGAGATGCCAGCTATTACTGAGAGAGACCCATTCTGTATGAATTAATGACTCTATATCATCCTGAGTGGCAACAAATATGAGAAAAAGTCATTTTCTTGGTCCCCATTAGAAACTGCATTCCTTTATCATACAAGCCCTACAGTGTGGAAACAGGCCCTTTGGCACAACAAATCCACACCAAACCTCAGAGCATCCCACCCAGACCCATCCCCCCTAATCTACACCTCCCTGAACATTATGGGCAATTTAGCATGGCCAATCCACCTAACCTGCACATCTTTGGACTGTGGGAGGAAACCCATGTAGACACAGGGAGAACGTGTAAACTCCACACAGACAGTCACCCAAGGCTGGAATTGAACCTAGGTCCCTGGCGGTGTGAGGCAGCAGTGCTAACCACTGTGCCACCGTGCTGCTCATCCCTTTCCATTGCAAGTAGTTGAGGCTAAACTAGATTGTTTGTAACCTTTAAGTCATATTTTTAATGAAATTAAATTCTGATTGTATATAACCATGCCGACACTATGATCACTTCCTTTACCGCCAACATACCACAACATGAGAAGCAATAGGCAATTTTCTGCTGTCTCAGTTACATTAGGACTAACGAATTGGGACAGTACTGCAGCCAAATAATGGACTCAGGGAATCATTAAAGCACAAGGAACCATTCAGCCACTCCTGTCCACAATCGCTGTCTACAGAACAACACTGATAACCCGACTGTCTTGCCTTGTCCTTGGAGCTGTGAAAATCTTTTTCTCTTCTATCCAATTCTGTTCTGGAAGCTCTGAATGAATTTACTTCCACTATATTTTCGGGCTATGTGTTCCAGATCCTAATCAGTTTTACTATAAGCGGTTTTCCCCTTGTGTTGCCTTTATTGTTTTGTTGTTCAGTTTGTGTACTTGGATTATTAACTTCTTCAGCAAGGGAAACAGCTTTCACCTATCTTTCTGTTTTATTCATTCATGGGATGAGGGTGTCGCTGGCTAGGCAGCATTTATTGCCCATCCCTAATTACCCAGAGGGTAGTTAAGAGTCAACCACATTGCTGTGGGTCTGGAGTCACATGTAGACCAGACCAGGTAAGAATGGCAGTTTCCTTCCCTAAAGGACATTAGTGAACCACATGGGTTTTTCCTGACAATCAACAATGGATTCATGGTCATTACTTGGACATGTGTTTAAATTTGATTTGGTACAGAATACGGAGCTCTGACAAATTCAGGGGAGACACAAGGCAACTGGTGGATGTGGACGTGTGATCCTGTCCAGAGATTAGTGTCACTGATGGGCAAAGGGGGAAGTAATTGTTGTTGTTGTTTTAATACGCTGTCCCAGGACATCAGAAACAGTGAGTGCCCGCCTACCTGGTACTCACTCAGGGAAACTCTCCCTCAATGAGAAGCCCGAAAGCAGGCCCCATCTCCATGGAAACCAAGGACAGTGGGAAACGACGTGCCTCCGCGGAGCATGCTGGTCCACGGCGCGGAGCCCGCCGGGTAAAAGCGGGACCCGATCACGTGGGAAAAGCGGCAAGTCCGATTGGCCAGAGAGAATTTAAACCCGGGGCCGGGCAGCGGGACCAGAGACTGAGACAAAGCGGGAGGAAGGTACCGGGGGGAACGGGTATACCGGGTAGGAGGGCAGGGGCAAGGCACGGAGTACTGAGGGAACACCGGGTATTGGGGGGAGAGAGGGGGTAGTACTGGGTACAGGCCCCAGCGCCAACGAAGACAACGACAACGGGGGGGGGGGGGTCGGGGACCCTGACACCGG